TTTCGATTAGCACACAATAAAAGTTGTTTTTGGCTACCGGTAAATTGTTCTTCTTCAACTTTTATGAGTTGTATTTGTCAATGATCGACATCCTCCATATCGACCTCAGGGTCGTCCACAGAGGTTACAACCGGCGCACGAAAAGGTGGTCGAAGTGGGTATGAGAGCAATCCTAATGCCAATCTTAGGTCGCTCACGTTCATTTTTAGCGGAATAGACGTGCCCTCGAATATTACTCGAACGACGCGATACTCCGCACTTGTATCCTGCATCATGCGGTCTTGTTCTGTACGCATTGCAGCTTCTTGCTCATCAATCCATTGCAGTTGGCGGAAGGTCGGATCTTCAGGTGTCTGAATAGAAGCTTCTTCTGGTAATCGGGCTTGACGGACACTCATGTAGCGTTGAGTAGCGGGTCCAACAGAGATTTCATGTTCTCGAACAAATTGAGCAATTCGGGGAGCTTGGTCCTCTATTCGCGTAGCCGTAGCATGCCGTAGTGTAGTCGCCCGTGGCGGGCGGGGAATGTATACAAAGATCATCAATCGGAAATCAGCTTGCCCATTTTTGCGGAGACGTGCCGTATGCCACACAGTCTCCAACTGCATGTCAAACTCGCTCTGCCCCTCTTGAAGTACCGAAAAATCGCGCTGAGGGGCGTGGTTGCTCGGCTTTAGGTATAGCTGGAACTCATCGCGCCATACATTAGGAAACTGACGATTGAACATCTCCTCTATCGTCCCACGCAACCCGCGATACCCAGCCGATACTTGAAAAAGAAAATCAATAGGCGGTAGCTTATCTCTGCAAGCGGTAAGCGGGTCTCCATTCTTTACTGTGAGTCGAACGCTGAGCTGCTGGGGGAGCGGAATGATGTTTGGCTGCATCGCTGTAGGTTCGACAAAGCCAGAAGAGAAGTACAAGTCACGATGAAGCATCACTTTGTCGCTGCATTTTGGCATCCCCGCCTTATGATTCCAATACCGTTGAGTGTAGCACAGTACATCAGAACATCGCACTTCTAGACCTGGATAAATCAACAACGCATAGTGAGGTTGCCTCAATTGTCATACCGGATAAAGTTAGAAAAAAGATAAAAATAAGACGACCCACCTCGAGCTTGTCTTGGTCCGCAACAGTATTGAGCGCATGTCATTCGTCTATCATCTACAAACACATAGCCCCCTTTATGTTAGTAATTCCCAGTGTTGCTTGGATTGTCTCCTGGTGGTCTTATAACTGGTCACACACCATTTTGTCAGGCTAAGTAAGCTCAAATGAACGCAAATATCTTGCTGTCTGGCTGCACACCAGCGTAACAGGTACACAGAACTTGAGAAGTACTTACTGAGTGACGAGCATGCTGTAGTAAAGTACTGCAGTTGTAGATTATATTGGCTTGCTCCGTTGGCTAATATGTGCACGGCAAAACCGTGTAGCACCACTAATTCTGCCTGCACCAACTCAAAATGAACGTGGAACACGATTACTGACAACACCATAACACGTAAGGAAGCAGGAGAGTAGAGCACGGTGCCTTCGCCGTTGGCAGAGAGCCCTAAAGCGATATCAAGGCGCCGATGACGAGGAGTTGCTGCTGGACTGGACTGTAACGCTGTGAGACCTGGCTTGAGCCAACCGCTACAGCCCTACCCCTACTTCATTTTAAGACATAGCCTAGGTCAGATTGCACTACTCCTTTAAAATCACAAGTCCGATGAAGAGAGCTAAAACTGAACGCAAAATGACAGCAAGACACAATACACCGTTATATTTCCTAGCGAATAGCAACGACTCGCACCAGTAATGCTCTACAGTGCTGGCCAAAAGGATAGCACATACCATGCTT